GCTGAGGATCACAAATCTGTTACAAGCTCTTCGTGTGCAAACAACATCACCGTGCTTCAAACATCACCAGCCAATGAATACTTCAGGTCGAGAAGGCGAAATAGTTTGGGGGATTTCAACTCGGTTTCATCATGTAATCGATGCAAGCCTGCGACCATAACAAGCGATTCGGAGACTGGGATGAGGAACTGCAGGAATTCTAACATCGTTGTGCCGTTGACAGATTCACATTCGTCTGTTCAATCGCAGCCAAAAAGCCGGGGAGTGATTTCGTGGTTGTTTCCGAAGTTAAGGAAGAAGCACAAGAACGAAAGCTCTCCAAACCGAACAGAATCGGAGGAAGTTTCTCAGGTTTATAGGGAATTGGGGATAATGTCGATTGAGACGTTGAGGAAACAGCTCATAGAAGCGAATGAGCATAGAGACGCCGCGTTAATGGAGGTTTCGGGGATGAGATCTTCGCTCGGGGAGCTGAAACAGAAGATGGACTACTTGGAAACTTACTGTGAAGAGCTGAAGAGAGCTTTGAGACAAGCAACACATACCAAGATCCAAATCCCTGAAAAGCTTGGGAACTTTCCGAAGAGTGGCAAATCCAACGATGGGAACGCAGAAAACCTAATGCCGGTCAGCGAGGAAGTAATGGTGGAAGGTTTCTTACAGATAGTATCGGAATCTAGACTGTCTGTAAGACAGTTCTGCAAGATCCTTGTAGCGCAGATCGAAGTAATGGATAACACCCTGGTGGATAATTTGAACATGCTTCTCGAGCCGTTCAAATTGTCATTGAGTTCCAAGTACTCCAAGGCAGTGTTGTACCATTTGGAAGCCATGATCAACCAGTCACTCTACCAAGACTTCGAGAACTGTATGTTTCAGAAAAATGGCTCGCCGAAGATTTTAGACCCTCACCAAGCACGCCAAGCGCAGTTTTCTTCCTTCGTTGCCCTCAGAAACTTGAGCTGGAATGAAGTATTAAGAAAGGGAACGAAGTATTACTGCGAAGAATTCAGCAAGTTTTGTGATCAGAAGATGAGTTGCATCATTACAACACTAAATTGGACAAGGCCGTGGCCGGAGCAGGTTCTTCAAGCATTCTTTGTTGCTACCAAGTGCATTTGGCTGCTTCATTTGCTTGCATTTTCGTTCAATCCGCCTCTCGGAATTCTGAGGGTGGAGGAGAATAGGAGCTTTGATCCACACTACATGGAAGACATGTTCATGGACAGGCAGAGATCGCATGGTCCGAGCCGGGTTAAGATTATGGTGATGCCGGGGTTTTATGTTCAGGATAGGGTTTTAAGGTGTAAGGTTCTTTGCAGATACAAGTCTGCAGGTTCAGTAAATTGATCCTTTCTCTTTAAATTTTTTTCTTAGTTTTTTATCAATCAATTACTGCCTTCTTTTAGGTTTTTTAATTTATTTTTTATGGGCTAATTGTTCAACATGAGGAAGTATGTACCTTTGATGTTTAAAGTAGAGGCTGACATAAAGATTGGTTTGTTATTTTGTTTTTCACCATGCCTCCTTTAATATTGACCTGTTGTCCGTCGATTATGCCTTTCGACCTGATCTTAGGCCCTTTACTCACCCTCCGTAGACGAATCTTGCAAAGGAACCCTTCGGTTTTTGAGGTTTGATTCTCACCAATATTTGCGTTACTCAAGCCAACATTCTCGTTTCCGCTCGAAATATATCGTCCAAGACAATTCGTACTTCCAATTATATAGTTGTTGGTATTGTGTTTATAATGTTATCAGTGAAAGTCTACATGGCAAATTACTAGCGACGTGGCATTAGTTCATTAGAATTTAGATGGTCGGACCAGTCAACTGGTCAGGCGGTATGGCCCAAGTTTTTTTCCCCCTTAACCAGAGCCTGCTTATAAATGAGACAATTCACTAAAAGCAAAAAAATATTACCACCATTAAATTATGCAACTTTTCTTCTTTTTTGGCTAAACCACTGATCTCATGGATTCTGAAGCAAAAAAAATATAACTGATATTGTAGAATAACCATTGTATTGAACCAATTAAAGCAAACAAAACAAGAACAAACGAATCAATTGGAGCAAAGTTTCGAGCGTGACAAATATTCATCTCAAAATTTCAGTTGCTAACAGCATCATGACTAGAAAAGACGGGGTGGAACTCCTAACAAGTTTTTGGCAACCGTAAATGTTAATCCCATAGATACGAGCAGAGGCTGGACTTGTTTATGACAATTTGAACCCTCGCCCCCTCAGGGCATGCCGTCCATCAACTGAAGCTCAGTGCAGATACCTTCATGCATTTACTTTTACTTTCTTAATCAGCTCTATGAATTCGCTAAAAACTGCAGCAAAAAAAAAAAAAATCCCTTTTTAACTTTTTTTGTAATGTAACGTTACACCATATGTAATTTTATAAAGAAATGGTATCGTAAGTGTGATAGAAAGTAGCTAGAAAGAAGCAACAGGATAAAGAAAAGCCGCCATTGCTATGAGCTCCAGTTTCACCTTTCAGTAGATGATGAAATTCCTAGATTTCCTGTTAAAAGTGCATGTCTCTAGTTGGTGCAAGCACCTACCACATAAAATACTACTAAATTTAATGTTTACTTATCAGTATGTAGAAACACAATTCACATTACCGTAGTCTGAATCATGAGGTCCCGGGGATGCTTCAGGGTGGTACTGAATAGACATGATGTTTCGTGCAGGATAGGCAAGACCAGCACAACTTCCATCATTGAGATTAACATGAGTTACTTCTACACCCTCGGGAAGTGATGCAGCCTCAACTGCGTAGTTGTGATTCTGCGACAAAATTAAAGAGGTTCACAGATGCTTGACATGTTTACTTCAGGATGACAGTTCAAAAATTTCGAACATCATAAAAATTATATGATTGAGATACCTGAGCGCTTATCTCAACATCTCCAGTACGAAGATTACGGACTGGATGATTTCCTCCATGGTGGCCAAACTTCATTTTGAAAGTTTTACCGCCTAATGCCAGGCCAAGCAATTGATGGCCCATGCAAATTCCAAAAACGGGAACCTTCCCAAGAATTTCCTTGACTGTTTCAACAGCATAAGGAACAGCAGATGGGTCTCCGGGGCCATTGCTGAAAAGGACCCCATCTGGTTTCATTTTCAGAGTCTCTGAAGCTGGCCATGTTGAAGGCACAACAGTGATTTTACAACCATACGAAGCCAAGCGCCTGAGTATATTATGCTTGATTCCAAAATCATATGCAACAACCTTCAATTCATACCGAAAGGAATAAGAAAAAAGGTCAACTAAGACCAAAGTACCAACATCAGAGCAAAACTGGTCCGTTAGCAAATGTGTTTGCCTTTTGTTTTCTAGTTAAGGAGATAAAGGGATGGAGGAGGAGAGAAACAAGATATGAGAGGTGAGTGGTCACGAAGAGAGTGAGAATAATAGGATACAATTAGAACTAAAGAGCATTTACTTCCAAAACCATCCTACATATTTCCCTTCATCTCTGTTCTCATTCTCCTCTCCTTTTTCCCTCTCTTTAATTTAAAAAAAAAGAACGAAAATGATACCAAACATTCCGGAAGGAATTCAAATTTAACTCAATGCTGACTTACGTGAAATGCATCTGCATCTCTTTTGCTGGAGTTAAATGCCCACTCTGAATGTGTTTTATCAACCCATTCATGAGGGGCCTTACATGACACACCACTTATTAGATCCACCCCTGCAAAATTAAAACAATAAATCTTGGAACTTTAATCCTTTGACATTGTTTTTCTTCTGTTAAATCCTTTGACTTATTCAACTAGCTTGATTTAATCCTTACCAACAATGTCCCACGAACGAGACATTTCCAATAGTTCTTCATCTGATTTTGTCTGTTCTGTGCTCAAAACACCAATAAGGCTTCCATCTTGCCTTAGTCTTCGGGTGATAGCACGTGTGTCAACATCATCTGTTGCATAATCAATCAGCATGGGACACAGAGAGTGAGATTTACACACATACAGCTTAGCACACCAACTAACAAAATTCTGCAAAATATTAGTGCCTTAAATATTGATGACCGGGTCTAACTTACAAATTCCCATGATGTTTCTTTCTGCTAAATAATCACCAATTGTTTCTGCACATCTCCAATTTGATGTACTGCAAATTTTTAAAGACACACAGTTTAGTTTATTGTCAAAACTGAGCACAGCTCAATCACGGAAGCAGCTGATATTCCTACAGCAAGGAAGCACACCTGATACTTAAACTTCGGATCACTAAACCGGCAAGGAAGCATTTCCTTGATTCTTCATCATCTAATAAGGACAACACCAATTTCATAATTCAGCATATCCAAGACAGCATAAATTTCAAAAGTAGAGAAAGAAAACTCCACCCACCAAAATTTACACCAGTGTTTCCAATATGTGGGTTTGTCATCAGGACAAATTGGCCAGCATAACTAGGATCTGTAATAATTTCTTGGTACCTGCGTAAACATGTAAAATGCATGTGTATCAGACTCCATATATGACTCATGCTGAACTTATCAACTCTTGGACATTGATGCCCAACCAAAGACGAGGTAACTAGTTCAATAATACAAGTACCAAAATTACGTTAACCAAAGTGTGATCATCACTACAGAATGGGAAAAAGAAACACAGGAGCTTTGTGAATTTCACATAATCGCTCAGGTTGAAGACAGTCCAAGAAGGCTAACAAATAATCACCTAGTACTCTGGTTATTACACTACCAAGCTCAAAAGGTTATTCCTACAAAAGAACAATTTAAAACGTTACAATGTTAAGACATGCAGCTAAGTCCCACGAATATGCAGCTAAGTTCCACGAACAGAAAGAACCCGACATCAAAGTTAAAATGTTAAGATAAGTTGCTGGTACATACAAAATCATAAGTTGTCTCACCCGGTCAAGGATGTGTTGAATACAACTTCACCAACTTGGGTCCCTGAAGCACCAAACGACTTTGCTCTCCAGATTGAACCATCTTCAAGCACTAGCCTAGCATCTGAAGTCTTCCAAGGTTTCTCTGCCAAATCTAAACCCCAACAAGCAATGCAAAACACAAAGAATCATACATTTTTAATAATAAAACTACATATTTAATCTGTATTATCAAAAAATTAACAGCATTAAGTCTGAGAGTGAATGCTGAAGCCTAAGAACAAGAATTTCTATAAAACTGAATAAAACCATCATTATTTTTCCTTTTTTTTAAATTTTTTTTTTTCAAATTTCTGGACATAAAACTGGATTTCCATGGCACCCAATTAACTTGTTCTCCCATCTTATTACCGTCAAATATACACACTCTTTTTTTTTCTAATAAAAAACAAATCTTTTGAATATTCATCCGCATTAACGTAACGGGAAAGCTGGAATACTGAAAGCAAAACAATTGAAACAAGAGGTAGCGGCAGAGCAGCACCTGGGACGGCGGTTGAGGTGGCGGAGGAGCATCTGAGAGTAAAAGCTCGAAGCTTTAAAGGTTTTGGAGACTTGGGATTGAATAAAGTCGACGGATTTCTAAGAGCTAATTCCATAGCTGCCGTGGCCATTCTCCTCTCTGTTGCGGCAGTGGATTATTTGGCTTTGCTAACTGAGAGAGAGAGAGAGAGAGACGTTGTTCCCTTTTTATGGTCGGACACAAAGTAAATGCTACAGCCTATAAGAGGTAAATCTTACATAGAAACGACCTAATAAAGGGTATTCATAAAAATCTTTTAATTTTTTTGCTGTTGGATTAAATAAAAGAAAACTAATGAAAATGTTTTGAAAATTTTGAGTTTTAATAATAAAGATTAAAGTGAAGTTGTTCATTTTTGTGGTCGGACACAAAGTAAATGCTATAAGAGGTAAATCAAGAATCTTTTAATTTTTTTTGCTGTTGGATTAAATAAAAGGAAAACTAATGAAAATGGTTTGAAAATTTTGAGTTTTAACAATAAAGACAAAATAAAGGGTAAAGTGAATAATATTGACTTTTTAGTGTAAAAATATGGTTTTTCGTTAAAGTGAACAGTATCAGGGGCTTTTCGTTAAAGTTCCCTTAAATAAATTGAAGAGTTCTTTAGTATTACAGTTTTGTGGTATTATTCTTTATTTATAAGTGAGATGTATTAGGTTTGATTCTTGTCAAAGACAAATTTGAACCATATTATTGCAAGCCCATTGTGAGGCGCTTAGCCACTTCCCCACCCCTTTAGTGTAGATAATATCGTTTGGTCAAAAAAAAAATGAAGAAGATCTATGACAAAAAATTAACAAACATATGTGAGAGGTAAAAATGAGTGTGTAAATAACACTATCCATTTTTTTTTTTGGAACAAAGGTACCATTCATTACTAACAACAAACATTACAACACAAAGGCCCAAAATTTACAACATAGAGGCCCAAAAACAAAACACAAACAAACAACAAAGGCCCAACCAAAAGTTGAGACCAAAACAAAAGAAACATAGAAACAACCGGATCCATTGCGTCTTCCGCCATAACCGTCGCTACAACCACCAAAACAGTAGCCGTGCATGTCGATCCAGCCAATTTCGTTCCCCAAACTAAGCCTCGCCTCATCGATACCAGCAGCCAATCCTAAGCTTCACTCCTAGCACATCTACATACAACTGAGAATCTGCAGCCAAGTGAAAAAAGCTTATGGCAATCCACGAGCAACACTGCCAACAAGGGCAGACATCAAAGAGAAGGTGGTGGTGCAAGGAACACCCGACCTAGTGCAAGGAACACCCGACCTAGTGCAAGCACCAGCTCAATATACACCAACTCGAAACACAAAAACAAATTTTGGCAAAGGGTACTGAAGCTCGAAAATTGGATGAATATGGATGAGAGACAGCAGAGGGGAGAGAAGAAGGCAAATCGGCCAATAAAATCAGGGAAAAAAAAACAGCGGATGGAAGAAGAGAAAGAGAGAGAAAGAAAGAAACGAAAGAAAACCCACCGATCCCAGCTGGAGCTAGGATCGACGGTACCGAAATTTGACTTGATTGGGAACGACTCACACATATTGGTGAGAATAACCCTTAAACAGAGGGAAGGTCTCTCACAGAGAGAGAAAGGGAAAAAAATATATTTTTCTAACACTATCCATTTTTAACTTTAGAATTGACCCAAATCTTTATCCTAGTTTATAATTTGGACATTTGTTCATTAAGGTTTCTGAATGTAACAAAATATTATCATTCGTTCATGTCATCAACATTGGGACGAAGCTACGAACATGCAAGTCTATCTAATTCATCACTTTCCTCTCTTGATTTTCATTGATTTCTTCAATAGATTGGCAGCTTTAAGTTTGAGATAGGGTTCCTCCACAAGGTTTGTCCGCGAAGGGTGAGTCAGGGCTTAAGATCATGCCAAAGGCATAATCAATGGACAATAGGTGAATATTCTTGTACCACCCCTTGTTGATCCCGAGGGATGGAGGAGGCTAAGTTAGTCGGAAGATGGTTATCGGTTCAAGGACGGGGGAGATTGAGTTAATATGTGTTGAAATGTCCCACATCGACCGTATCAATGATAAAAGAAGAGTTTAAATACCCTAATCCCACTCCAACTAATATCGAGGCCTTTTGTGATAAAACCTCACACATGACGGATTATGCAGGTGGTAATTACCAAGTTGGAGACAATATCGGTGTTGTTGGAAGTGGGTCGTATGACCCTTTTCTTTGATAATTCTACATGGTATCAGAGCCAAGGAGCGGGCCCGTACCGTATTGCCACGTGATGGGTGGGTCCCTTGGCCCCGCGCGATGATGATGGGTCCATTGGCCGGCGTGTAGGATGAGTCCCCTTGGCTCCACGTGGTTGTCGATGTGTGGATCTCCCACGTGTGACCTGATAATTGGGTCCCACGTGAAGGGGCGTGTTGAAATGTCCCATATCGACCGTATCAATGACAAAAGAAGAGTTTAAATCCCCCTCCAACTAATACCGAAGCCTTTTGTGAGAAAACCTCATACATGACTGATTGTGCAGGTGGTAATTACTAAGTTTGAGACAATATCGGTATTGTTGGAAATGGGCCGTATGACCCGTTTCTCTGATAATTCTACAATACGAAGCTATTGTCTTGGATCGATTATGTAACGTTTGGAAAGAAAGGGAAGATCTCGATACCTGAGTAATAGTTTGCCGAATCTTTAACTAACCTTCGTTGACTTTTGCCGAACTTTGGAATTAAATTCGGTTGGATCTGCCGAAAGGCTTTATGTAACTAGGGTTTGCACAAACACGGTAAACTAAAAGTGAAGGAAAGAAAATAGTACCGAACGCAGGGTTAATTAATTTGTTGTCTTGCTCCTTAGCTCTTCAGCATTCAGTAATTCTTCCATGGCTTGGACAGAATCCCCCCTCATCTTTTATGGCATTTCTGATCATGTCCCTAACCTCACAAGTCACAAGCATTCTTTATTTTAACCATGCAGATGCAGCTCCGCCCTCTCGCTGCCTCCACGCACACGCCGGCCTCTTCTCCCAAGAACTTAGCATTGTGAAACTGTTCAGGTTCAGCTCCCGAAGGCCACCCATGTATCACCTTCCCATGACAAAGTGCTTCAATCACCGAGTTCACATATACTTAGTTTAGTTTGGTTGCACAGTTTCTCTAGATCATTTTTGTCTTTGCATTCGGATTCATTAAAAAGTTAATGTTGATATTGGCCAATGGGAAAGGATTTAAACAATATTTGGTACCATGTTTGCTGCTCATATAAATTTCTCTTGCAGTTGTTACCTGACCAAGGCATGTTAAGCAAAAAGTTAGGTGCATCAAGAAAGAAATAAAAAAAGCAAAGATAAGAAGAATTAAGCATAGGTTTGAACAAGTGGAGAGAAGTTCGGCTGGGCTAACCCACAAAGCCACCCTAGCTCCCAACCATCTCTCTCATTCTCTTTAATCTTTGCTGCTAAGATATATCAACTGTTGCCGGCAGGGTTGGCAGGTCTCAAGTTGCTAGGATAGAGGGAATGAGATCCCCTATGGATTTCTATGTTTGAAAACCGTGGATCCAGAGATTCGGATCGTTCAAAAAGAGAGAAAGAGATATGGGCCGTTCAAGTTTTTGGATTTTTGTGAAGTGGGCAAGTGAAATGGACTAATAGGAGTTGTATGATTAAAATTGTGTGGTCTGAGTGATCCGAATCTCTCGGTCTTCAGGCAACAGGCATAAAAATCCAAAGTGGCTCCCAATCCAGGATGGTGCATGCATGCTAATTAATCCCAAAGGAACCCTTTAATAATCTCCATTCTCTTCACACACACACACACACACACACACACACACACACACATATATATATATATATATATATATATATATCACAGGTTCTGGTAAGGAATAGTAAGCAACACAATATCCATCTATATTTTTCATTCAATTTTCAATAGCAATGGCAGAAATCAAGGAACACATAGTTATGTTCCCATTCATGGCACAAGGCCACATAATTCCATTCCTTGCCTTGGCCCAACAACTAGAGCAGAAAAAAGGTTGCACCATAACCCTAATCAACACCCCACTCAATATCAAGAAGCTCAGCTCCTCCCTCCCTCCGAACACCACCATTCGCCTCCTCGAAATCCCTTTCAAGAGCTCCGACCACGGTCTTCCCAGCGACGCTGAAAACACCAATTCCCTATCCTACCATCTCATCCTCAAACTCTTTCAAGCTTCCTTGTCACTCAAGCCTTCTTTCAGAAACCTAATGCACGGTCTTGTCCATGAAAGAAATGGACTGCGCCGACCGGTTTGCATGATCACTGACATCTTCTTTGGGTGGACGATTGAGATAGCTCATGAGTTTGGCATGTCCCATGCTGTGTTCTCCACAGTTGGAGGGTTCGGCATGGCGTGCTATTACTCGTTGTGCTTGCATTTACCTCATCTGAAAGCAAAATCCGGAGAATATGAATTCACACTGCCTGATTTTCCAGAAGCTAAGAAATTTCATATATCCCAGCTCTCAGAAAGTCTTAAACTGAGCAATGGCACCGACCCCTTTTCAGTGTTTGTGCATAAAGCATTCAATGAGTGCATGAAAACTGACGGAATGGTAATCAACACGGTGGAGGAGCTAGACAAAACCGGGCTGATGTACCTCCGAAAGATCTTTAAATTGCCGGTTTGGGCAGTTGGACCGCTTCTTCTATCATCCGGAAATGGGACTAAAAGGGCAGGAAAAGAATCCGGACTCACACCAGAAGCATGCAAAAACTGGCTTGATTCAAAGCCACCCAGGTCAGTTTTGTACATTTCATTTGGTTCTCAAAACACAGTTTCAAAGTCTCAGATGATGCAATTGGCAATGGCATTGGAGTCAAGTGGTAAAAACTTCATTTGGGTTGTTAGGCCACCATTGGAATATGATGTTGATTCAGAGTTCAAGGAGAAGGAGTGGTTTCCGGAAGGGTTCGTGCAGAGGATTAAAGCTCAAAACAAAGGGCTAATTGTCGAAAAATGGGCACCTCAGGTGGAAATACTGTCTCACAAAGCAACCTCTGCTTTTTTGAGCCATTGTGGTTGGAACTCGGTGATCGAGTCCTTTGTTCATGGGGTGCCTTTACTCGGGTGGCCTATGGCTTCAGAACAGTTTTTCAACGTCAAGTATCTGGTGGAGCAAGTCGGAGTTTGCGTGGAAGTAGCGAGGGGGAAGAGTTGTGAGGTTCAGAAGGAAAATATAGTGGCGAAGTTGGAGTTGGTGATGAATGAGACAGAGAAAGGGATGCAAATGAGAAGGAAAGCTAGCGAGGCAAAGGAGATTATTAGGGATGCCATGAAGGATGAGGAGGGATACAAAGGTTGTTCTACTAAAGCTTTGGAAGACTTTCTAACAGCCGCTGCAATGTCATACAGGGTCGAAGAAAACAGTGGACTCAAAACCAAATGAAACGTTACTAAAGAGGAGAGAAAAACTAGCGCTTAGAAAGTAAAGAATTCAAAGGTCGCGGTTCTTAAGAGTGTTTCCGTTTATGATTTTTTTTTTTCTTGGCTTTATAATTTGTCTTGTTAACTTTGATTTCCTTCTCTGCAGTTAATGTTCAGTTTCAGTTAACAATTAATCACATATATTTGATACAAGTACAAATCAATCGCACATAACATGATCAGAAAATGTCCAGTAGCATAACACCGTAAACCAAATTGAACGAATCTGACTCAATTAATGAAACGAGAGAGAGAGAGAGAGAGAGGTTGAAATGTTATCCTAAAAAATGTTGTAACAGTTACTTCACAATTGAGACCTCTGTGAGTCTGATGATATGCTGTAAAACTCAGCAGAATTGCTTATACATGATAATGTAGTCTTGTTGCAGCTGAAAACTGCCCTGTCTATACCAATAATAAAAACAATAAGCAAGACACAGCTGGGCTTTCATCCTTCGTCCACCAAAAGCTTCGAACTTAATACCACTCCACTGTAAAAGCTATGAACTTTCATACTCACTCCACCAAAAGCTAACAGAGAGACTTGGCGTTAGAGATCGCATGTGGTGCCACCACTTTGGTGGGATATAAATCATATCACCTTCCTCTAAAATGCAGTCATGAAATTCCAAGTCATGCATCTTTGGGAACTTGTCTAGATCAACCTTCAAACCAAAGTCTTTTCAATCAGTATATATAATTGAGCTTCAGAACAGGGAATCCGATTCCATCTATATGATCTACATTGACCTCATCAGAGATAAAGGAATCGGCATGCATGGCAAGGCACTCATTGTTTAGAATGGAAAAACAACGTAGCATCGGTAAGCTAAGCACAACAAAATAAGAAGGTCAAGAATGTAATTACCTGGCTTGAGTTGCATAGCATGATCTCAGTGTATGGATAGAGTTCCTCGGACAATGATGCAAGGTAGAGCCTTACATACTTTTTGCCAACTACCTGAAAATGAGCAATGGATTTGAGTCATACAGATGTTTGGATCATTTTATTCTAGTAGCAAGAAAATAACATGCATATACAAATAGACAACGGATACATGTGCTCGGGCACGCAATCAAGTATAGCATGTCTGTGCCTGGAATGAAGCATGCAGAACATTCTTGCCATTGATGATAGATTGAAATCATTCTGCAATTTGGAGCCAGAGAACCTAGGCATGTTCTATGAAATTATCAGCTTCTTTAAATACGCACATGATTTTACTTTTTAGAGATGGAACTGTGACAATGCGTTTAGTATACAATCCTTTGTTTTCTTTCCGTGAGATTCGTATATCCACCATCACACACAACAATCCCATTACAATTTCTTTGTTACCCTAGAAAAACTATGAACGAACTCTGGAACTCATAACTGAAACAATTTTACGGTAAATCCAGCTTACTGGATGATTATTCTACTAAGTAAATCATAACACTCTAGAAGGCAACATCATGATGTAAATACTTAAATTTTAGGAAACTGAATCTAATATACCTGAGCAAGAACATTATGGTGTGGATCGTGGTGTAATGGAGTTACTGTTCCAGCAGACCTTAGTTCGCCACCACCGGCAAAACAATAGTCAGGAATACATATGTCCTCACGTAACTCGTGTATCTGCATATCAATAATGGGATATCAGATATACGAAGGTGGAAAATTGGCAAAGTCCAGCCCAACAAGTAGGCATATCGCCATTACAAACATGGTAACGGTGTAAAATAACACACCTGATCAAACAATGGATGCTGAGCAAGGTATGTTGGGGCAGCAGAAGCAGAGCCATTAGCCTGAATCCTCTCAAGAAACTGGGAAAACGTAATAAGCCCTTGCTTCCACTCCGGGTACAAATAATTTTTCCCGACCTGCAGTGCATTCAAAACTTTACCAATTTTCAGTTATATAACAAAAAATCAACGAAAGAACGAAGTAAGTAATTCAAACAACCATCAATTTTCAACAAACTAGTACTACTACATTATGAAGAAAATCACCTCAACTGGCACGGTGCGATCACCGGCAACCTTCGTTAGATAATCCTGGCCGGCCAATGATCCATGCCATCGGTTATTACCACCGGACAACCCGGAAACAAGTATTCGCTCAAAAATCCCTCCAAAGATAGACCTCAACTCTTCACAACCATTTTACAAGAAAGTGACTTTCTGCGCCAAACATCAAGCAACTGCAAATCAAAATGTAAACACAGTAAAAATCAATGGTAATTTGAAAGAACCCAGAATTTTCAAAGCTACCCTTTTGAAAACAGAGGACTTTAGGAATTGGGATATCATTAATGATCTGAATTGCAAAGAAAGACGCTTCCTTTGAGCTATGAGAGTTAAAAAGGCTGTGAAATTTGATGTCAAATGACGAACCTCACCTCCTCCGAGACGACGTCTTGCCGGCCCAATCGGCGGTCCGAATTGGGACATTTCTGCTGTTGCTGACGAACCCTAGTTGCCCTGGCTTTGGCGGCGACGACGGAGACGAGGGAGTGCAAGTCGGGCTTCGAGAGCGGGCCGCCCATGATGAGGCCCATATTGAGAGCACGGAGGGCGTCGCTGAACTCACCGGCGGCGACATGGAGCTTGGCCACGTGAAGGCAGGCCATGGAGTAGGCGTCGCGCAGCCCGTTTCAACCGGGCTGGGTAAGGTTTGGTTCATATAAATGTAATCCCCGGCCCCGCCCGATGCTTTTCCTTTGAACTCAGGTCTAGTCCGGTCCCTTCAAAATTGGGCCGGCTCGGCCCGTGCCCATCCCTAGGCTTAGCCACTCCCTTACCTTTTTAGTGTAGATAATATTGATTAGTAAAAAAAAAAATGAAGAAGATCAATGACAAAAAATTAACAAACGTATATGAGATGTAAAAATGAGTGTGTAAATAACATTATCCATTTTTTTTTTGAAACAAGGGTACCATTCATTACTAACAACAAATATTACAACACAAAGGCCCAAAATTTACAACACAGAGGCCCAAAAACAAAACACAAACAAACAACAGAGGCCCAACCAAAAGTTGAGACCAAAACAAAGGAAAACACAGAAACAACCGGATTCGTTGCGTCTTCCGCTACAACCACCAAAACAGCAGTCGTGCATATCGATCCAGCCAAATTTGTTCCCCAAACCAAGCCTTGCCTCATCGATACCAACAACCAATCCTAAGCTTCACTCCTAGCACAGCTACAAACAACTGAGAATCTGCAGCCAAGTGAAAAAAAAACTCATGGCAATACACGAGCAACACTGCCAACAATGGCATACATCAAAGAGAAGGTGGTGGTGCAAAGAACACCCGACCTAGTGCAAGCACTAGCTCAATACACACCAACTTGAAACACTGCAACAAATCGCGGCAAAGGGTGACTGAAACTCGAAAATTGGATGAATATGGATGAGGGACAGCAGAGGGGAGATAAGAAGGCAAATCGGCCAATAGAACCAGGGAAAAAAACAGCGGATGGAAGAAGAGAAAGAGAGAGAGAGAGAGAAAGAAACAAAAGAAAACCCACTGATCCCGGTCGGAGCTAGGATCGACGGTACTGGAATTGGACTCGATTGGGAACGACTCATACAGATCGGTGAGAATAACCCTTAAACAGAGGGAAGGTCTCTCACAAAGAGAGAAAGGGAAAAAAGATATTTTTCTAACACTATCCATTTTTAACTTTAGAATTGGCCCAAATCTTTATCCTAGTTTATAATTTGGACATTTGTTCATTAAGGTTTCTGAATGTAACAAAATATTATCATTCATTCATGTCATCAACTTTGGGACGAAGCTACGAACATGCAAGTCTATCTAATTCATCACTCTCTCTCTTGATTTTCATTGATTTCTTCAATAGATTGGCAACTTTAAGTTTGAGATAGGGTTCCTCCACAAGGTTTGTCTACAGAGGATGAGTCAAGGCTTAAGATCATGCTGAAAGGCGTAATCAATGGACAATAGGTGAATATTCTTGTACCACCTGTGAAATCCCATCCCCAGAATTTCACTATTCGTTACTTATCACGTAATTTAAATTCCTTATTTCGCAATTATGTTATCTTTATCAGTTAATTTCAATTCCGTTAATTTTTGGAATGTTAATTGATTGGTTATTGAGTTTGAAGTTTCGTAATCAATCTTTAACATTCGTCGACTTTTCGAAGTTATAACTAGTGTTTTTAAATAGATCTCGACCCCATGAATACATAGGCGAAAGTCGTTTGCGAGTCCGAATTATAATAGTATAGTTACGGACGTTTGAAGTTGTGAAACTATAGATAGTAGGAATTATTTAACTTCCACTTGTGGGTAAAAGGCCCAAACACATATTTGGCTTAAGGGACTGATTAATTAGAAGTGGAAAGGGACCAATTAGAGTGTGGAAAAGATTAGACAACAATCAATCAAAAGGGAGGAAAAGAAAAGAGGATTTTTTTTCCATTCCATTTCGGTTGACCGTACACCCCAACCACACCTTCAGTCGGTTTAAATTCCGGCCATTACCACCATACTTTCAGGTGATCTTCAACCATCCCACACCTGTCATATCTTTCATTACCTCCCATCTACCATATCCCTACAATTTCGAAGGAATTTTAGCCCAAAAACCATGTAAACTGTGCGGGTGACCGAAGGCTTTTCACGGCGATTCCATCATTCCGACAAGTTCTACCACCCATCCTCACCCTTAATCAACTTCCCTTGGACCCTAGATCAAGACCCAACCAGTTGTAGGAGCATTGGAACACCGAGGAATTCGAATTGAAGAACACCCACCTCAGGGTTTTCGACGGGTGCGAGCCAATTTGGGGTCTTCCCGGCCAAATTGGACTTGCCCACATGTATAAAGTTTACTCTACTTGTTGAGATCTTCTTTCCTGTAAAATTTGAGAATTTTTTAAAAAGGTCGAATTTTCTAGTGTGTGACATCCGATTTATGAAATGCGTTGAGTATATTTTCAATAAGGTCCATCACTTGAATATTCTAGCAATCGATGATCCGACCATTGGATCGTCACCAAATTGTAGTATGCTATTGTAGATATTATTTAAGGATTTACTTTTGGGTTATCCTGAAAAGTTGCGGGATTTCGTTGTGTCTTCATCGGTAGTTTCAGCAAGACTAGAGATTTATTGACTACGGCAAGAGAGAACAAAGAAAGGAGAAATCTTTGAAGAATAAGCTTAGCTTTGTGATAAAGATTAGCATGTTATATCAGGGTGGCAAAAATGTGGCAGTATTCACGACGTTTAGTTAAGAAACTATGGCGTTCAAATTTGTGTCAGTGGTAGTGAAATTGAAACCTCGTCGCGTACTTAGCTGCTTGCCCTAGTTCAGTTACAACAGCGGTGTGTGTAGAGTTATTAGTGATAGTTATAAGAATTGGTGCTGCTTGTTGAATCTATAGTAGGAAGAACCAAGCAAAATCTTTGTTTGAGTAGCAAATGGAGTATTCCGAGTTCTTTTGTGCACACCGGCAACCTTGTTGAGTAGTCAACATTAATTTTTTCAGTGTTTTCTTTTGAGATTTGTAAAAGAAATCCCTGTACTAATTTGCGGGTCTGTTTTATTTTGGGTTTCCGGGAGAGAAATAAGAATAGGAAGCTCGGTATTATATACTTTGGCTTGCTTATGAGTCATGCATACGGTTTAGTATGAGGTGCTTTTTTTCCCCCCAGAGTTATCCCTTTTGGGTTTAGATATTTGAGTAGCTTCGATAGAAGGTGAAGTATTAGGTATGTTCTAAATTACAAATAAAAAATCTAGTGATTGGATCTTACGGAGCAAGTGAAGTAAGATCATGGACCCTACCTTAGAACGACGGTTCGATTTCTCATTAAATGTTATTGTGGGAGACATATGAGAGTTGTTGGGTGTGTGAATTATCGAAGGAAATCTAAATGTGGACTTGTACTTTGTTTAGGCGGTGAGAGAGCGTGATGCCTTAACTCTTGTGCTAGGGTGCATTAACGCGGACTCCAGGTGAATGATTTTAATTTATGTGATATTGGTGATTTTCCTGTTTTCGTAATTGTTATCTTGTGTGGATATGGCTTGGTTTTATAAATATGTTTTCCATTGAATTGTTATTCTTAATGCTTAGCCATTGATTTAAGTTTATGAAATGAGATTTGACGTGTATATATTGAAATATGGTTTGATTTGTTTGATTGGCATGTTGTGATGAAATATGAGGGCTAGTGGTGGATCGTTAAACCATTGGGATGGGGATTTGTTGCTTCGATATTGTTTCATTTCCCGCTTCGTTATTCGTTCTAAATTTAGTGTGTGCCTTATTTCCCTTGGTTGAGCTTTGGTAAATTAAGTAACTTGTGCTTGTCTTATTTCCTTGAGCCGTTGTACATTGAGTGATGGTTCGGAATCGTATCCACTTGGATTTCGTTGAGTGATGGTCTGAAATCCCCCTACTCCGTGATTCCGTTGAGTGATGGTCCGGAATCGTATCCAGTTTGGTTTCATTTAATGGTTGTTATGCCTTGTACTCCACGATTCTGTTGAGTGATGGTCCGGGATCGTATCCACTCGGATTTCATTGAGAGATGGTCCGAAATCCCTTATACTCCGTGATTCCATTAAGTGATGGTCCTAGATCGTATCTACCTTGGGTTTCATTAAATTTGGATTGAGATAGCTTCAAAGATGTAGGCTTCGGCCGAACTGTGTCGCTCTAGTCCTACTTTTCATTGTGTTGTATGAGATTATAGTTGTGAGATGTTGTGATTTGTTTCAGACGAACCGTTGGATGTTTGAGTGACTCCTTCAGAGTTTTCAAAGGTTTGGTATTGATTCCTTATGAATGATTTATATTCAAGGTTTATAAATTGTGATTAATGGCTGGGTTTATTATTAGTATCACATACTTTGTATTATTGCCACTCACACGAGCCCCACAGCTTATCCGGGTTGTTGTTTACCGATGCACCATTCCGATGGTGTAGGCACTGATCATACAGGCGACATGTTTGAGTAGACTTCGAGAAGTTTGTAGATGGGGGTAGCAGTGCAGTTATCAGAGACTTGAAGCGTTAGGTTACCCTTGATCCACTCTTGTACTTTATTTTTTGGCACTTTCTTTTGAACACCTCGAACTTGTTCTTAGTCTAGCGAGGGTTGTGCTTCTTTTTGGAATGTGCATATTTGTAAATACCTTGTGGAGAACTTAGCCACCTTCATATTATTTTGGTTTATCAGTTAAAGTATTTCATTCCGTAACTTATACCGTATTCATCGAAAGTTATTTTTCCTTGTCACGCGTCAATCCTTGATGTATATTAGGATCGGGACGTGACACCACCCCTTGTTGATCCCGAGGGATGGAGGAGGCTAGGTTAGCCGAAAGATGGTTATCGGTTCAAGGACGGGGGAGATTGGGTTAGTATGAATCTATTGTCTTGGATCGATTATGTAACGTTTGGAGAGAAAGAGAAGATCTCGAGACTTGAGTAATAGTTTGCCGAATCTTTAACTAACCTTCGTTGACTTCTGCCGAACTTTGGAATCAGATTCGGTTGGATCTGCCGAAAGGCTTTATGTAACTAGGTTTGCACAAACACAATAAACTAAAAGTGAAGGAAAGTAAACAGTACCGAACGCAGGGTTAATTAATTTGTTGTCTTGCTCCTTAGCTCTTCAGCATTCAGTAATTTCCATGGCTTGGACAGAATCCCCCCCTCATCTTTTAAGGCATTTCTGATCATGTCCCTGACCATTAAGGCATGTTAAGCAAAAAGTTAGGTGCATCAAGAAAGAAATAAAAAAGCAAAGATAAGAAGAATTAAGCATATAAGGTTCGAACAAGTGGAGAGAAGTTCGGCTGGGCTAACCCACAAAGCCACCCTAGCTCCCCACCATCTCTCTCATTCTCTTTAATCTTTGCTGCTAAGATATATCAACTGTTGCCGGTAGGGTTGGCAGGTCTCAAGTTGCTAGAATAGAGGGAATGAGATCCCCTATGGATTTCTATGTTTGAAAACCATGGATCTAGAGATTCGGATCATTCAAAAAGAGAGAAAGAGATTTGGACCGTTCAAGTTTTTGGATTTTTGTGAAGTGGGCAAGTGAAATGGGCTAATAGGAATTGTATGATTAAAATTGTGTGGTCTAAGTGGTCCGAATCTCTCGGTCTACAGGCAACATGCATAAAAATCTAGAGTGGCTCCCAATCCAGGATGGTGCATGCATGCTAATTAATCCCAAAGGAACCCTTTAATCATTTCCATTCTCTTCACACACACATACACATATATATATCACAGGTTCTGGTAAGGAATAGTAAGCAACACAATATCCATCTATATTTTTCATTCAATTTTCAATAGCAATGGCAGAAATCAAGGAACACATAGTTATGTTCCCATTCATGGCACAAGGCCACATAATTCCATTCCTTGCCTTGGCCCAACAACTAGAGCAGAAAAAAGGTTGCACCATAACCCTAATCAACACCCCACTCAATATCAAGAAGCTCAGCTCCTCCCTCCCTCCGAACACCACCATTCGCCTCCTCGAAATCCCTTTCAAGAGCTCCGATCACGGTCTTCCCAGCGACGCCGAAAACACCAATTCCCTATCCTACCATCTCATCCTCAAACTCTTTCAAGCTTCCTTGTCACTCAAGCCTTGTTTCAGAAACCTAATGCACGGTCTTGTCCATGAAAGAAATGGACTGCGCCGACCGGTTTGCATGATCACTGACATCTTCTTTGGGTGGACGATTGAGATAGCTCATGAGTTTGGCATGTCCCATGCTGTGTTCTCCACAGTTGGAGGGTTCGGCATGGCGTGCTATTACTCGTTGTGCTTGCATTTACCTCATCTGAAAGCAAAATCCGGAGAATATGAATTCACACTGCCTGATTTTCCAGAAGCTAAGAAATTTCATATATCCCAGCTCTCAGAAAGTCTTAAACTGAGCAATGGCACCGACCCCTTTTCAGTGTTTGTGCATAAAGCATTCAATGAGTGCATGAAAACTGACGGAATGGTAATCAACACGGTGGAGGAGCTAGACAAAACCGGGCTGATGTACCTCCGGAAGATCTTTAAATTGCCAGTTTGGGCAGTTGGACCGCTTCTTCTATCATCCGGAAATGGAACTAAAAGGGCAGGAAAAGAATCCGGACTCACACCAGAAGCATGCAAAAACTGGCTTGATTCAAAACCACCCAGGTCAGTTTTGTACATTTCATTTGGTTCTCAAAACACAGTTTCAAAGTCTCAGATGATGCAATTGGCAATGGCATTGGAGTCAAGTGGTAAAAACTTCATTTGGGTTGTTAGGCCACCATTGGAATATGATGTTGATTCAGAGTTCAAGGAGAAGGAGTGGTTTCCGGAAGGGTTCGTGCAGAGGATTAAAGCTCGAAACAAAGGGCTAATTGTCGAAAAATGGGCACCTCAGGTGGAAATACTGTCTCACAAAGCAACCTCTGCTTTTTTGAGCCATTGTGGATGGAACTCGGTGATCGAGTCCCTTGTTCATGGGGTGCCTTTACTCGGGTGGCCTATGGCTTCAGAACAGTTTTTCAACGTCAAGTATCTGGTGGAGCAAGTCGGAGTTTGCGTGGAAGTAGCGAGGGGGAAGAGTTGTGAGGTTCAGAAGGAAAATATAGTGGCGAAGTTGGAGTTGGTGATGAATGAGACAGAGAAAGGGAAGCAAATGAGAAGGAAAGCTAGCGAGGCAAAGGAGATTATTAGGGATGCCATGAAGGATGAGGAGGGATACAAAGGTTGTTCTACTAAAGCTTTGGAAGACTTTCTAACAGCCGCTGCAATGTCATACAGGGTCGAAGAAAACAGTGGACTCAAAACCAAATGAAACGTTACTAAAAAGGAGAGAAAAACTAGCGCTTAGAAAGTAAAGAATTCAAAGGTCGCGGTTCTTAAGAGTGTTTCGGTTTATGATTTTTTTTCTTTTCTTGGCTTTATAATCTGTCTTGTTAACTTTGATTTCCTTCTCTGCAGTTAATGTTCAGTTTCAGTTAACAATTAATCACATATATTTGATACAAGTACAAATCAATCGCACATAACATGATCAGAAAATGTCCAGTTCGCCACCACCGGCAAAACAATAGTCAGGAATACATATGTCCTCACGTAACTCGTTTATCTGCATATCAGTAATGGGATATCAGATATACGAAGGTGGAAAATTGGCAAAGTCGAGCCCAACAAGTAGGCATATCGCCCTTAAAAACATGGTAATGGTGTAAAATAACACACCTGATCAAACAATGGATGCTGAGCAAGATACGTTGGGACAGCAGAAGCAGAGCCATTAGCCTGAACCTCTCAAGAAACTGGGAAAACGTAATAAGCTCTTGCTTCCACTCCGGGTACACATAATTTTTCCCGACCTGCAGTGCATTCAAAACTTTACCAATTTTCAGTTATATAACAAAAAATGAACGAAAGAACGAAGCAAGTAATTCAATCAACCATCAATTTTCAACAAACTAGTACTACTACATTATGAAGAAAATCACCTCAACTGGCACGGTGCGATCACCGGTTAATGATCCATGCCATTTACTCCTGGCCGGCCAATGATCCATGCCATCGGTTATTATCACCGGGCAACCCGGTAACAAGTACTCGCTCGAAAATCCCTCCAAAGATAGACCTGATCTCTTCACAACCATTTTACAAGAAGGTGACTTTCTGGGCAAAACTCCAAGCAACTGCAAATCAAAATGCAAACACAGTAAAAATCAATGGTAATTTGAAAGAACGTCAGTAATTTCAAAGTTACCCTTTTGAAAACAGAGGACTTTAGGAATTAGGATATCATTAATGCTCTGAATTGCAAAGAAAGACGCTGACTTTGAGCAATAAGAGTTAAAGAGGCTGTGAAATTTGATGCGAAATGACGAACCTCACCTCCTCCGAGACGACGTCTTGCCGGACCAATCGGCGGTCCGAATTGGGACATTTCTGCTGTTGCTGACGAACCCTAGTTGCCCTGGCTTTGGCGGCGACGACGGAGACGAGGGAGTGCAAGTAGGGGATGGGCAAAATACCATGACTACGGGACCCCTAAGTTGACGGTTATAACCGTTTATTTATAAAATTTAAATGAACAGTTATGAGTATTATCCACGATTATAACGCGTATCCATCGATTATAGGTAATATTCGTGGTTATAACAGCTATCTATTTACCCATTTAATTTAATATATGTAAAATTAAAAAAAAATTAAAAACCCTCAAAGAACTTACAACTTGTAAGTTACTATTATTTGTTGCTTCCCTTAGGACACATCGGTTATGTGTTGCTTGCCTCCGCTTCTGATCAGCAGCAGTCTTCTCCGGCTGTTGCCAAGTTGGTTATCTCTTTTGACCCTATTGCCGAGGTCAGAGAGGTACGTTTCTTTTTTTTTCTTCTTCTTTGTACATTTATATATATATATATATATATATAGACACTCATATTGAATTGTCATCGTTTTTGTGTTTTGGGTTTTTATGTTCTTCCATGCATTGTCGTTTCGGGCCATGATCTTTGTTTGTTCCTTAATCTTTTACTTTTTGATCCTGATTTCATGGTTATGGGTGTAGCAGAAAAATATCGTTCGTAAACTATTATTCAATTATTGGAATTATATGAGGACTGAAATGATTAAAATATGAAAATGTATGCAAAAATGTACTTATAACGGTGATTAATTGTCAGAAAATGAAAATTATGACAAATTTTTCTTTTGTAATTTTCAAATTGTTAAAAAAAAATAATGTAGACGGGCGAAAAAATGTTAAATGGGTAAAAAAATGATAAACGGGTAAACGGGTAAATGGTTATGATTAAATGGGTAAATAGGTACACGGTTATGGGTATGGATAACCGTTTATAAACGGTTATGGTTATGGGTATAACCATTTATGTAATTACCCAACGGGTAAACGGTTATGCGGGTATGAACATAAATGGTTATGGGTAAATAATCGCGGTTACCCGCTCGTCATAATCGTTGCCCATCCCTATGTGCAAGTCGGGCTTCAAGAGCGGGCCGCCCATATCCAGAGCACGGAGGGCGTCGCTGAACTCACCGGCGGCGACATGGAGCTTGGCTACGTGGAGGCAGGCCATGGAGTAGGCGTCGCGCTAAACTGGCAGAACCGAGTTCCAGGGACCAAAGTGGAGCTGCTCCCAGGCCATCTCGCGAGCAACCTCCCCTGCGTAGAGGTCCCTGGCTGCGGCTCAAGATTCCATTCTGACGCAGGCGTAGCCGCCTTGCTCGAAGATGGATTGAAGAAGGTGGGTCGACTCGGAATCCAGAATTGGGGTGTCGACATGGTGGTCGGAGGTGGCGTCGGATATTTTTCTAACTGATAACTGATAAGGGATCCAAAAATTATTTCCTTTATTGATAAAAACTAAAAAGTGTATATGCGATGTGTTGGCGCGGTTTTTTGTTTCCGTTTTTTCTCTTTTTTGTTTTGTTTTTTTTTTGTTGTGTTTTATTTTGGATCGATGTGTCGAAATACAAATCGGTACACTAAATGTAATAATATAAGTAATTGAAATATTTACATTATGATACTTGGTGTATCAGATTATTTTTCTATTGCATTGAAAAATTTCTCCAAGTGCCAGCTAAGGGAGGGCATGGGCCGAGCCAGGCCCAAATTTGAAGGAATCGAACTGGACTCATTTTAAAATGTAACAGGATGGGTCGGATCAATTATAAGAAATTTGATTTTTGAAACCGGACATAACCTGACCCATTTAAAACGGGTTAAATTAGAGCGGGTCCATGGGTCCAATCCTTTTTTTCTTACAGAACAGTTAGATTAAATCAACAGCTTCGTTAAACAGTCAGATTTAACAATTAACGCATTCTCCAATTATCAGAGAAATTTAAAAAAAAATCTATAAAAATGATGCAAATTGTTGAGCGTGCCAGTGACTTTCTGCCACTCCACCTGCCACTCCACCACTTATACATTTTTGTTAAGTTTTCTTTTATTTCTCTTACCAATACAACAAACTATCATATTCATGTTATTCAAATATATTTTTCCATGCAACATCTATTACAATTCGTACTTAAACATTTGTAATCAATGATTTAAACCCTAAATTTAAAGACATTTAAACCATTTTTGTTAGTTTTTCTTTTATCTAAATCTAAACTACATATTACTAGAATCCACATTGTCAACCAAAAGTAGGTGAAACACTATTTAACAAAACAAAATTTTGCCATTTTTTTATTTAAGCCTCACCTACATGTGTTTTAAAAAAATATACATTGAATATACATTTTAACATCTCTATATTTTTCACTTAAATATCTCTACATTTTAACATCTAAATATTCTACTAACACACCCTGACCCTAATCGAGGCATGCTAGCCGTCATGTGAGGGTGATGTAGCCATGTGCGTTGTGCGGAAGTGAACGTGATATGAAAAATACGGATAAAAAAAAACCAACTAGCTAATTTACACTAGACTAGCATATCAGTGCAAGTGAAAGTGTTTAGAGTGTAGGTATCAGAATGCAGTCCAGAAGTCTAATTACTAATTATACGTATTACAAAAGAAACCCTACACCGATGGATGTTTGTTAGAACCGTTGTGGAGTCCTCGTGAGCCACCAGCAAGAACTTTTATCTAGAACCTGGAAGGGCGCAAAAACAGAAAGTGTGAGTGGGCAAAATAAAACTTTTCAAAAACAATTTATCTTTACAAAAGTAATAACCCATCACCGTAAAACCCGTATAATTTCCCAGAAAATAGTACTATGTTCGTATATAAGAACCATGCTCGAGAATATCAAAACTCACATGTATGCCATGTCAATCATCTCCACAATGCATAAGTAAGCCAAGTGAAATGAACCAATATAAAATGACATATAATCCGGAGTCACCTAATGTGACATGTACGGCTGAGTCTATAACTCATCAGTCAACGAGTCAGAACCACGTAATGTGGTTTGTACGACAGGGTAGGTGTAAATGAATATGCTCAAGTGCTACGATCACGTGAAAGCTGTGCAAAATATCGCAAGTCACCTACGAGTCGAAACCACCTAATGTGGTTTGTACGACAGGCTGACACCTGCCTTGGATCTAAGGTGAGTGTACGGTGTAAGAGGTGAATGATCACGTGAAGGCTAAGCCCTGGCCTTGGACAGAGCACTAACACCGAGGTGCAAGATAATGAATTCTATGCACAACATTTCATCACTAACTACTATGTAATCATACCAACAATGTGTACTTACTTAAACTTACCTTGGCCTCCGCAATAGCATGCAATATTATGCAAAGCTATACTAAATCATACGCTAAAATATAAAGCAAATATGACATTGCATTTTAAAACGTAAAAACCATTTAAAACTATTTCTAGGAAAACGTAAAGCATATATACGTATATATAGAAAATCAAAAGCCCACTCACTGGTATGTAGCTGGGTCTTAACCCCTAGTCTCGCCTGGTTGCGCTAGTCCTCCGGAAACGTCTCACCTATATGTGAAACCACTATTTTAACGTCAATTTTAAGAACATAACCAAAACCGTGTAATAATTTCTCATACGTTGCTCAATTGAGGTATTTGAATATACCATCATGGCTTACTCAACACCACGAACATCCCATATTTTTAGAAAAATTTCCTAACATCCCACGCGTAGGCCAAGCGCAGGCACGTGGACGAAATATTTAACACCGTTAGAGAATATTCCGTCATATTTACCCTACATTGTTAGCATATTCTGTCGAAGTTGACGGAATATTCTTCTTTTTTCTCCGATGGTTCACCAGAATCCTACGCCGGCCATCGTTGCGTCACTGGAAACTGGAAAATCATAAAACTTCAATATCTTCTTCGTTTTTCAACCAAATTCCACAAAGTTTATATAGATTTGAAGCTCTCAAAGAGGAGAACAATTTCTTACCTATTTGAAGTCCCAAAACCAACGAAAAGTGGTCGGAAAATCTCTGGGAAAATTCCGGTTAAACTGGAACTT